CCCCGCGCCCCGCGGGGGTCTGACGCCTCTGCCTCCTGGTGCCCAGTGCGGACCTGCCCCCTGGACGAGTTCCAGTGCAACAACACCCTCTGCAAGCCGCTGGCCTGGACGTGCGATGGCGAAGACGACTGTGGGGACAACTCCGACGAGAACCCCGAGGAGTGCGGTGAGGCCTGCGGGCGGGACGGAGGCCAGGCGTCGGGGCGGGCGGGGTCCCCGGCCCGGGCCCGGACCTCACCGTGCTGAGTCCCGTCTCCCCACGGCGCAGCCCGGTTCGTCTGCCCGCCGAACCGACCCTTCCGTTGCAAGAACGACCGCGTGTGCCTGTGGGCTGGGCGCCAGTGCGACGGCACGGACCACTGCGGGGACGGGACCGACGAGGAGGACTGTGGTGAGTGGGGCAAGGGGGGGCAGCCTGGGCGGGGCGGGGCCTCCGGGTGGCCGCGGGAGCCACGTCTGGCGGTGGGCGCCCAGGAAGACGAGGGCCCGCCTGGGGAGGAGGACGCCTCTGGGAGAGGCCCCGGTGCCCGAAGCCTGGCGGCGGGGCTGGAGCCTGCCCCAACCGGCAAAGGCTGCGGAGCAGGCCTGGGCCACGGCCCGGGGACAGGCCAGCGTGGTAAGCCCGGCCGCCCTCCGCAGAGCCCCCAACGGCGCAGCCGACACACTGCAAGGACAAGAAGGAGTTTCTGTGCCGCAACCAGCGCTGCCTGCCCTCCTCTCTGCGCTGCAACATGTTCGACGACTGCGGGGACGGCTCAGACGAGGAGGACTGCAGCATCGGTGGGCGGGGCCGGCCAGCAGGGGCGGGGCCGGTGGCTGGGGGCGGGGCCGGCGTGAGCCTCCCTTCTCTGTCCCCCTGCAGACCCCAAGCTGACCAGCTGCGCCACCAACGCCAGCCTCTGCGGGGACGAGGCGCGCTGCGTGCGCACCCAGAAGGCCGCCTACTGCGCCTGCCGCGCCGGCTTCCACACCGTGCCCGGCCAGCCCGGGTGCCAGGGTAGGCAGGCGGACCGGGGCGGGGGTGGGCCCACGGGGCGCCCCTGACCCTCCCTGTCCCCCCAGACATCAACGAGTGCCTGCGCTTTGGCACCTGCTCGCAGCTCTGCAACAACACCAAGGGCGGCCACCTGTGCAGCTGCGCCCGCAACTTCATGAAGACGCACAACACCTGCAAGGCCGAGGGTAGGGGCCTCCCCGGCAGACGCGGCCCAGGAGGGCGCTGGCCCTCGACACGCTCACCCAGCCTGGCGCCCCAGCACAGGGCTGGCAGCTGCGGGGGCCCACGGGAGTTCGGGGGCAGGGCAGCCCAGAGCGCCACACCCCCCCCCCGTCCCCCCACTGCGGGAGGAGGCTCTGGACCCCCAGCGCCACACTCAGCCTCCTGTGCCCCTGCGTATGCTGAGCGCACTTTTTTCTCAGCTCTGCGAGGCGTGATTGATAAAGCTGTCACGTTTAATGTGGACGAGGTGACGACTTGGTACACGTCTCTGGTGAAAGGGCCCCTGTCCAGTTAATTAACACCCCATCAGCCACTTGCTTGGGGTGTTTTGGTGGTTTTTTTTTTTTTTTTGGTGAGAACATGTAAGTTCTACTCTGTGCTTTGTACAGACACCTCGCAAATACCGTGTACGTGCCTGTGCACACGCGTGTCGCTGTGTGCACCCCCAGGGCAGCTTGTCCCCAGCCCCCGCACCTGCCTGCCCCTGCACGCCAGCCTCCTTGCCCCCCTGTGCACAGAGCCTGCAGCGTGCAGCAGAGGACAGGGCGGGGCCGGCCGGGAGTCCAGCAGGCACATGGCCCTGGGCTGCAGAGGCCAGCACACTCGGTGCCGCCCAGCCCCGGCTGGAGCCCTGGAGCCCAGCACAAAAGCGTGAGAGCAGAGGCTTCCAGCTGGACCACAGGGTCTGCGGGAAGGAGGCCGCCCGGACACGCCCCCAGCGCCAGGTGCGGCGCCCAGCCGGCCTGGACGCGCCCCGACGCTGGGCCTGCCACCCCACAGGCTCCGAGTACCAGGTCCTGTACATCGCCGACGACAACGAGATCCGCAGCCTGTTCCCTGGGCACCCCCACTCGGCGTACGAGCAGGCCTTCCAGGGGGACGAGAGTGTCCGCATCGATGCCATGGACGTCCACGTCAAGGCCGGCCGTGTCTACTGGACCAACTGGCACACGGGCACCATCTCCTACCGCAGCCTGCCGCCTGCCGCCCCTCCCACCACCTCCAACCGCCACCGGCGGCAGATCGACCGGGGCGTCACCCACCTTAATGTGAGCGTCCGCCCGGGTGGCCCGACAGGCCCGGCTTGTGGGGGGCGCCAGCGTCTGGAGACGCTGGGCGGGGCAGAGGGCGAGCCTGAGGGCGCGGGCAGTGAGGATGGTGCGGGAGGCAGAACGCCAGGCCCCCGGAGGTCAGGACCCCGCGGTTAGCCCCACCATGTTGCAGCCCCAGGCGGGAGCCACACCCACGCCGGCGGCACTGTGCCCCGAGTCTGCTGAGCCCACTCGGCTGACCGGCTGACCGCTAGGGCCCCGCCTAGAGCCTCTGCAAGGCAGGGCGGTGCTGTCAGCCCAGCCCAGGTGGCAGCGGGGCGCGGCCCTGAGATCGCATTGAGAGCGCCAGAGTCGGACGCTTCAGTGGGGGCGGGGGCGGGCGCGGCGCGGGGCGGGCAGACGCAGGGCGGTAGCCCCTGAAACCGTGACCCCCGTTCAGATTTCAGGGCTCAAGATGCCGAGGGGCATCGCCGTGGACTGGGTGGCTGGGAACCTGTACTGGACCGACTCGGGCCGGGACGTGATCGAGGTGGCGCAGATGAAGGGCGAGAACCGCAAGACGCTCATCTCCGGCATGATCGACGAGCCGCACGCCATCGTGGTGGACCCGCTGAGGGGGTGGGCAGGCCCGCGGCCGCGTGGCTCGGGGCGTCCCCGGGAGGGGTGCCGGCATCTCCACGCCACCTTCCTCGCTGGGCCAGGTGGCGGTCAAGTCCTCTCAGCCCCCCCGGGCCTTCCCGGCTCCCCCACCCCCCCAGACCCAGGCCACCTGGGACAGGGACCCCAGCCGGTCTGACCACCGCTGGCCAAATCCAGCAGCCAAATTCTGGGCCTTTCCGCCCTGGGGGTGGCTCTGCGCTCCATGCTGCCGTCAGCACATGGGGCCGGGGCAGGCCAGGAAGCCGACCCGCCGGCTCTCCGGAGGAGGCAGAAGACCCACCTCGATGGCCGCAGCCCCTGCCGGCCCCCTCGGTGCCTCCTCCGGCGCCCTGCTCCTCGCCACCTCACTGCTTCTCCCTCCCCAGCACCATGTACTGGTCGGACTGGGGGAACCACCCCAAGATTGAGACGGCGGCCATGGACGGGACCCTGCGGGAGACGCTGGTGCAGGACAGCATCCAGTGGCCCACAGGTCTGTGCGGCGGGGCGGGGCGGGGCCGCGGGCCCAGGGAGGCCGGCCCGGGAGGCCCTGGAAGCGCAGGCGGAGCCTTCTGCCCGGGGTGGCGGGCCTGGGGGGCCGCTGAATCCTCACGGCTCTGCCCGCCGCAGGCCTGGCGGTGGATTACCATAACGAGCGGCTGTACTGGGCAGACGCCAAACTCTCGGTCATCGGCAGCATCCGGCTCAACGGCACGGACCCCATCGTGGCGGCTGACAGCAAACGAGGTCGGTGTCCAGCGGCAGCCTCGGCCGGGCCTGGCCTCAGGCCTCCATGCGCCCCACTTTCTCTGGGCCTCCCCAGGCCCCGCCGTCCTGCCTCTCAGGCCTCTGTCGCTGGACGCCCCTGGCCCCAGCCTGCAGGCCCGAGGGCCACTCTGACCCACTGGCCCGAGTGTTTGCTCCTTCTCCCGATGAGTGTCGGCCGCCTGAGGGCAGTGCGGTCACAGGAGAAACTCAGCGAGTGTGGGGAGAGGGCGCAGAGGCCCGTCCTGACCCCAGGGCTCGGGGTGATAGGCCCTTTCGCCAGTCGTGTCCACAGAGGAGCAGCGGGCAGGGGCCTGGTGCGGGGCTGGTGTCCTGGGGGCCGGTGGTGCTGGGGGCCAGGCCCGAGCCCCTCGCGGTCCCCGTCCGCCCCCAGGCCTGAGTCACCCGTTCAGCATCGACGTCTTTGAGGACTACATCTACGGCGTCACCTACATCAACAACCGGGTCTTCAAGATCCACAAGTTCGGACACAGCCCCTTGGTCAACCTGACGGGAGGCCCGAGCCACGCCTCCGACGTGGTCCTGTACCACCAGCACAAGCAGCCCGAAGGTGGGCCGCGGGGGCGCGGGGGCGGGGGCCGGGGCCGAGGGACCATGAGCTAGGTGCTCCTCCTGCTGCTCTGCAATAAAGGCTTGGTCAATCGCCCCATCTCTCCAAGTCTCCCTTGCGCCCCGGGGGGTGTGCGATTCTGGGGGTGGG